GACTACTTCGTTGGTCGTCCAAGTTATTATTTTCACAATTTTAATTTCAAAAAGGCCACTCAATTCAGTAATAATACAAGGAAGACACCTTAGGGCACTGCCACTACCGTCACTATCGCGAAGTATAAATATAATAATAAAATGACGAAAACAGCACAGTTCTAAAAATCCCGTATGATAATCGTATGATACTTTGTTGGATGAAAGGCGTTGAGAGTTAATAACGATAATACTGAAATATTTCAACACGTACAAAGTTAAGACATTGGCGCGCGTGTTATTATACAATTATTATTCAGCGATAATAATATTAAGTGTACGCGATTTGTATTATTTTGAAATAATATTACAAGTTTATTCTCCTATGTAATATGTATAATACTGTGGAGACTACCTGGACCGAATTCGTTTAAGTTGAATTAAAAACTCAAACCCAAATATCATAATATATACCATTGTACATATCTATAAGGATAAAATAAGACCAGGTCAGTTCCACCAAAAAAATCCTTTAGCTAAATATCAGAAATGTTATCAATTATGAACAACCGATGATAATATTCGTTAGGATATTAATTTATAATTTTATATGTACAAATATAGCTTTTCTAAGCATAAATTTGATTACCTCAAAGTAACTCATCTTGATGATATTGGTGAATTTAATAAACTTATGAATTGTTATTTTTTATGGTCTTATTTGTTTTAAAGTTTTAAGAATTAGATATTGTTTTATTTATTATCATACCTTTATAAATAGTATAATACTATTATATCACATCAATATGTGAACTAGTGTTTATCTCCAAACTCTCCAGTATCATAATATAGTGTCTTTATAATATGATATTATTATAACTATTTTTTTTATTTATGGTACAGCTTCAACTGCTAAGGTTATTAATGCCAAGTCTAAATAATCCTAGAATAATAATTTTCAGTGTTACAGAAAAAAAATTGAAAATTGCGCACACATTTTGAAGGTTTTTTTTTAAATTGCTGCATGTAGTTTTGTCAATCGTGTACTTAGAAATGTGGTTAAACTAACAAAATTCTTTAAAAATTAGGTAAAAAATAATTAGTAAATTTTTTGACATTCTCAATAAATAAATAACATATCAACTTTTTAATTCTAAATCAGTATTTAATTTTGTTTTGTACAGATAATTAATGTTTGCCTTAAGGTAGATATCTAATTATAAGATATCTAGTAAACCTAATGTTTAATTTCATAATACCCGATAAAATATGATAACTATTAGTTTAAATTTCTGTTCCAATTTAAAATGGCATAGGAAATTAATTTGGACAACAAATTGATAAATTTATAAATAAACTACAAATAAGTAGAAAACTTAAATGAAAATTAAACTTGTTATTTATTATTAATAAATCCCAATAGACCTAATTAAGGTAAAAACATCAAAATCCATAAAAATGTGTATTTTTATGTCATAACAATCAACTTAAAAACAAAATTCAAATTTTAATGCACTGTGCAATGATATTGTGTGTTCTCGATTAGCGTTTACAGACTTTATAGTTTATACTTTGCATTTTATTGTTATATGTATCACCATTAAACATATCTTATCACATTAAATTTAGATGATCATGTTAGGAAAACACATAATATTAATAAAAAACATAAATACATTTGAATTTTCCATTAATTCCAATCCTTCTACCATATAGGTATATTATGGATTGAAGAATGTCTTACACTTTGGAGAAATGATTAAAATTTCCCTGTTTATTTTGTCAGTTTATGAATATGATTTAAAATTATTTTATTTGGATAAAACACATCGAGTTGTCTGCCATTGTAAAGTTATTTTCATGAAATATAATTATGAGTTATATGCAGTTGTTAAAGACATAGTGATACATCATGCTTTTTTATAAGTGTTTATAAAAAGGATCAAAATATCAATTAAATATGACGATAGATAGGTATCAACACAAATATATATTATAATTTTTTGATTTTTTTTTTTTTACAGGTATTTCATAACAATATTATAACCTCCAATATGTTCAGAGGTAAAAATAGGGCACTCAGCATATTGCTATATAAATAATATAATACATTATATTGTTATATACGATGTGCGTGGGATTAACCAAGACAATAGATTGCGGTGAGCAAAGTTCTTAAGAAACATAAATAATAGTTATTGCACACCGTTAAAGTACCTAATTTAAATTATTTTCAGTATATGCTATTAATTTTCGTTGTATTATTAATTTAAAAGATCTATTTAAGAAGTGAAATAATTATATAGATAGGTACCTGTACATTTTTTGTGAGTAGGTATTTAAAATAAGTTTATTGTATGGCGTATCTTATCGTACGAAAAACTAAGTGGTGAGTTCCTTATAGAGGTGGCCTTAGCGATGAGTAATTAACTACCGAAGACGATTACTTCTAGATGACTACCGCATACATAGGGTGTATGTAATAATAGCCAGATAAGCAACTTATGTTTGGTAATTGCTTGTGTATACGATGTAGGTTTTAGATAAGAACCCAAAAATTTATTTTTATTGGATAAAAATCTAAGCATAGCTTTTATTTATACCCAGTTTATCGCAATCTGTTATTGCTATCGCTTTCTTAACAAYTATACTAGATCAATCTTCGGGAAACTTGAAACATATAGTATAATATTAATTATTGTCTAAAATCTGAATGATGCATATATTAAGTTTGGCGTTTCTAAAATGATGTGTTGCAGTAATAATAATAAAAAAAAAATGTTATAGTTAATTACTCATTTACACAATTTAAAGAATATGTCTTGACTGACTAAATTATGATGGCTAGAAACTTTAAATGTTCATGATCTTATTGTACACAATGCAAGGTCCACTGATAAATTATTTTAAAGATCATGATACACGGGGAAATAGAATAAATATTTTAAATTGTATGATATTTCGGATCATATTCTCATCATAATTATAATCAGTGGTCTAAAGAATCCCATAGGTAATAAATAAAAACGATTACCTGCTGCGTCATCTAGTGAAAAAGTAAGTGTTGGTCGCCGATGGTTTAACGATTACAAGAGGTACCTACACAAAACAATTCAAAATTTAGCAATAGATGTCACTGCCGTTAATGTTCTAACGCGTCTATCGAACACAAAAAAAGTGTATCACGGTCCATCACTAACTTTAATGTAAATACTAAGATTAAGAAACCATACTGTTATCTCTAACCCCTTAAAAAAAAAATGCTATTAAAATCTTAAATCTTGTAAAACATACCATAACTGTAACTTACTAATGGCCATGTAGCTGCCGAGTTTATTTGATCAATAAAAATAATAACTTTAATGCACTTAATACTTATGTAGTAATATACATGGTATATAAGACAGTGTATTATAATTCATATTTTATTAATATTTGTGAGAACCAGATTTACAATTTACAGTGGACATCACATCTAATCGATAAAATAGAGTTTCCAACATTGATACATTAGTTTAACTATAACATATAGAAGTGTATTTATTTAAAATTGTAATAAACCATATTACGCTAAAAGTATTAAAATCACCTAAAATCTTATTTTTCTTAGTTGTTCAAAAAATATAAGCCAATAATATAAAGAATTTAATCAATAATTGTATAATATTATATACAGGGTGATTTACCAAGCAGGCTCAACCCCTTTTTTTCTTKCATAATGAAGTTATTCAAAATCTGATTTTTGGAATCTGTAAATATACCTACTCAAATACCATATTTTCAGATTCTTGAGATTTTTTGTACCACTTAAGGAGTGTCCTGTAACGATACAAACATATGGTTTTTTTTAATGAAAACCCCAATTTTTAAAAAGGTCCATGGATTAGGATTATCAGATAAGTGGTATTTGGTGGATCAGATTGTAAAAATTACCTAAGTATCATAAATACTAGTTCCAATAGTACCTACGTGTATTTTATACTTTTGTAAAACGATTTTTAAGGACCTTTATCCTTAGTACGAACATTTTAATAACTAGGAAATCACTAGTTCGAAGCTGCTTGGTGAATCACTCTGTAGATAATAAATAAATAAATAAATAATGTAACACCGTAAACGGCATACCTTATAGAAATCGTCACGTCATAATCGTTATCATATTAAAATATTTTCTTTTTGTTCTTACTGTGAATTTGTGAATGATACTTTTGGGTAGGTAAGTAACTATCTACAGCGAAGGTTGTGGACTTATTATTATTATTTGATACCTATAGTTATTTACACAATTATTAAAGTTTTTTTTTCTTTTTTTAAATGTTTCAGCACATTAGGTGCTATTACAAGTAGGTACATTTACAATTACAATTTAATATTTACATTTATATTGATGATAATAATGATATTAGTTCACAGTTATAAATTTTATATTAATAGTATTGGTTATTTTTTTTTTTTCTAAGGGGAACCCGCGGCAACATAGGCCATTGGGTGCTTGTATTGGCTATTYTTCATCTTCTGATGAGAGCTCTYCATCAGTGTCTGATTTCCGTTGGGAGTATGTCTTGGGGCAATCGAGGTTAAAGTAATAGGGAGAGCTAAGTAAWAATAATACACAATCTTAAGCACGACATTCATAGAAAGGTATCATGAGAATTAGAATCTTAAATTACTAATTTTTGTAACCTAACCTCAATAAAGGCCTCTTATAGTATATCTCTCACGAAGCCAGTATATAGGCGTCTCCTGTCCAGTCTTAAAATAGATACCTATCTATATATGATGAATTAATTACACTCATCACTCATCAGCAAMTTTTCGACTCAACATTCCCACTCCTATACTCGGCCTTGAATATGATAAACATTATAAGAATTCTTCGTAAATATCTGTCCGCGACCGGTCTAGTAATGCTGTTTACTTGTTAAGTTCCAGGTTTTAAACTTTTATTTGGTGTATGTCTGTCGTAAATTTAACAATTTAACAGTTTACAATTTGTTTTTTCCGTTAAGTTACCTACTTTTTTTATATTTTTTCAATATATTCTATTATTTGATTGTAAGTTTGTCAATTATAAACTCGTTAAAGTTTTTATAACACATCAAACATTCACATTAGGACACCTTGTAGCTCGTATAGTTAAAGGCGTTAAAGCTATATGAGACTTCATTGTATATCGTTTAATTTAATTAGTAAAACAACATTTCTAATTTAAAAAAAATTTGGTTTGTTATAGTTGAGTAAGGTATTAATTATGACTTACAAATTAACATACTTCAACTTCACTGCACTAGGCGAACCCATACGATTCCTGCTGTCTTATTTGGATATTGATTTCGAAGATAACCGTATCGAAATCGAAGAATGGCCATCAGTCAAACACAGTAAGTATTTTAAAATGTTATGAATCATATTCTCTATAGTTGAAATTAATTTAGTTTTAGGTATTCTTAAAGTTTTTGTTTGTATGATTGATGTAAATGTATCTGTATATTAGTCATATTTTTCAAAAGTGGGTACCTAAATCATTGAAAAATTAAACTTGAGTAATTAAAAATAAGCAAATATTTAAAACGTTAAATTACTAATTTTTACCAAAAAATATAATAATTAACTGAAAATGTTTAAATTTCTATAGTATGAAGAAAAATATTAACCCTGTAAAAACAATTTTTTTAAATTATATAGCCTATACATTAAAAAAAAAMCAGCGAATGTGCTATTTTTATATTGAACAAAAAAATAAAATACAAGATATGTCCAAAAGTTTTTTTTTTTATTATTGTTTTATTGGTTAAGCATCAACTATATAGGTGATTAGTTTTAACAAAAGTATTGCATTTATACATTATTATTATATATTATTGTACAATTCAATTTRCAAAAAGTATTTTATAAACTATAAGTTGTGTTTTTTAGCCATGCCATATGGTACAGTTCCATTGTTGGMAATTGACGGTAAAGTATTGAATCAATCTTCAGCCATCTGTCGTTATTTAGCTAAAAAGGCTAATTTAGCTGGTAGCGATGATTGGGAATCCTTATTGATAGACATTGCTGTAGATAATTTTAAAGATTTTGGTTTATGTAAGTGAGATCTATAAGTAAAGTATATTGAATGAACCATTTAAAGTGCATATAATTATTTTTAAAGGCTTGAAATCTTATTGGTTTGATCCAAATGCAGAATCTAAAGCTGCTAAATATGTTACGCTGGTCAATGAAACTATACCATATTATATGGACAAGTTTGAGAACATWGTTGGTGAAAATAATGGATATCTCGTGAACGGAAAGGTATAAAATATGTATAGGTACCTTAATTTTTTAATTACCTATTTTACATTATATTATAGATGTAACATTTTAATTACTTAATTTTGCATTAATTTTGTAACAATACATTATTGAGACACGGGCACCGTATTATATTTTTACTAGGTACCTATAAAATAATTTTTTCAAAACACTTACTATACTTGACAGCTTTCTTCGATGTATAATATGACTTAATTATAGAAATTATGGAAATGTATAATTACATATGCCAATGTTAAGCAATATTATTATTATAATTATTTATCGACGCCTAAATGTAATAATAAACCTTAAAACCAATAATACCACAATTATTTATGTGGATATTTAAATGTGTAGGTATTAACTGTAAACTTGAATGTAAATAATTTAGATTTGTAATAAATTAATAACCCATTTTAATTCAAATAACGATACAACTATTGAATAATGTTATATTTTCATTATGTTGATTGAGTGTTATGTACCTGAATTGTACTTACCACAATATTTTTTTTTTCAGTTATCTTGGGCTGATATATTTTTTGTGAGTATTTTGGACCACTTGATATATAGAGTAAATATTGACATATTGAAAGATCGCCCAAACTTACAAGCTCTCAAAGAAAAGGTATTGGCAGTACCCAAGATTAAATCATGGATTGAAAAACGACCATTATCTTTTGACATTGCATAATCCCAGTATAATTATTGGATACAATTAATTTATCCATRTCATATCATACCTTAGATAAAATTAGTTTTATGTATTACATATTTCAGTAAATATTTAACAAATATAAATTTAAAAAAAAAATTTTGGTAGAATTATAATTATCTAGCTATTGACATAATATTATGTTAATTGTAAAATAATTTGTTGAAAATCGCAATCCTTGATGGACCCTATCAAGTCTTCGTAGACTCATACTCACTGTGTGACATGGCTGTTTTGATTTTGTACCACCACACATGTCATCAGTTAGACAATTTTTATTTATTTTGGTATAATTTATATGTATACAATAGGTACACACATACACATATATATACAGGTGTCTGATGATGATCATATGGAATAACTTTTGTTGCATTCAATATCRAACATTTTTTTTTCTATATAATTAATAGACACTAACGCTACATGTTTAGTATGATTTTTTAATTTTTAATTTTTAAAATCAAAAATCAAAAACTTAAAAATTGATAAAAATGTAATTTTATAATTAAAAAAATAGCCTATTTGCTGATTATAAGAACAATTTTGATGGTAAAAATATGTATCTAAGTCAAGTAGTTTATGTTTATTTTTTTTGTTTAAATTAATTTGGAACATAACTTTTTTTTAAATATGATTTTTGAGAATTTACTAATTTGAGTATATTTCTTAAACTATTTACTATCATAATAATTATAATAATATTAACAACTTTTGTCATAATTAATTAGCATAATATTTTTTTTTTCAGATCTTTTTGAGACACTCTGTATATACAGTATACACACACTTAAAGTACCACCCTGATAAATTTAGGGGGATGGTCCAAAATGTTGTGAACCCTCATCATACTTAARTATTTATATAAATATATCTTTATTTATTTATTTTATGTTCTAATAGACTTGCTTTATTTTTATATAATTTTATAAACTTAAAAGTCTTGTAAGAAATTATATAACAGATTTGAATTCTGAAAAAAAATATTACGACTTTCAGTGATAACAGCAAAATATTAACTTATTAGACACAGTTTTCATTTTCAGCATATTAATTTTCAGAATTGTGGTTATGAAGTTCAGATTTAATACAAACTGATTTTAGGGAGTTTTAAAATAGGAAATTTTATACTTTTTTATAGTGATTGTTTAAATGTGTGACTGAAGTAGTTAAAAAGAAATTAAGAGGTGCTGCCTGTTTGAGTGTACTTAACACTCAAATGTCAACAAAGTGTTACATGAATATTAGTTACCTATTTTGATTGTTTAAAAGAATCAATCTTTTGAAAATGATGTCGCTAAATTTTTTTGACGAAGATAATTTTCTTATGCACATTTTTTGAAAAGTAAGTATTTTCCAATGAAAAGATGTATTTAAAAGTTTGATCCGATAAGTCAATAACTATAATAGTGGCTAAAATTGGTATAAGGTCTATTTTGGTATAAAATAGAGTAAGAATCAAGTATTCAAATCCTTTGAAATGCACTAGAGATTCAAAAAGTAATCGAGCATAGTCTTGTATAAAATATTATGTCTAATGCAGTTAATTTCTATCAAAGACAATATAAATGTCAAATGAAATGAGAAATTGTTTCAAATGAAACTCTATTTTCCCAAAACTATGGAACGGGACAAAAACAAAYTGTGTTACATTTCTACAAATTGCTTTTTGAATGTTTTTTGTAAATTACAWGAAAAAAAAATTACGGTACTCTTAAATGTATAACTAACATTTATGCCGTATAGAATATTTGTAAACAAATAAATAATAAAGGTACAATAAGCTAATTTAAAATTAAAAAGATGTAGTATGAGCAAAAAATAAAAAAAGGTAATATCTATTGTATTTTATTAACTAAATAAAAATTGATGGTATATTTATTTGAAATTCAATATTTGTTAAACTAATTTAATAATGAAATTCATAAAAATTTGTTTTTAATAAGTATTTACACTAAATAGCGCCACATAATTTAATTTTTATTTGGTGGTACCCAAGCTTGGATTTTTGGTGGCATTGTACTGTATGGTACATATTGGCGATTGGTACCAGTTTCGTTTTCTGTATGTTTGGCCATCCACTTGTACTTCGGCCTGCTTGGATCCTGAAAGAAACATTAATTAAAAATAACTATTCATAAAGAACAAAATGCAAACTTTCTTCTTTCACTTGTAAATTTTTAAAAGCTCTCATATTTTACTCATAATAAAATTCCTTTTCATAACTTCTGCTCAACCAATTACTCGATCAATGAAACTAACAAATGAAGATCCCACTTCTGATTAATATTTTTAGCTCATTTGTGTTGTTATTATATTGTTATATTGTTAAGCTGTATGTTATATTATGTACCCTATTTACTTAGGYGTAAGATTACAAAGCCATTTTGTATAGATAAATAAATAAACATTTTAGTTTTAAATACATTTTGTTACAMATTTTTATATAAAAGGATAAACTGGATAGTATTAAAAGTTATTGCAAACGTAGTTAATAGGTAGTTGGMAAAAGGGAGAAAAATAGGAAAATCAAAAACGTTTAACTGACATTGATATTATCAATTTTTTTAATATTTGTCTCTATATAAAATAATATTGTTTAAGGTTAATTTATACCTAGCTTTAAAAAATTATGCAAATGTAATTCCTCTCATTTAGCTTAATAACATTGAGGTAATTAAGTTTTAATTTAAGGTATTTGATATTTTATTCTAACCCTAGAACTTTTTTCCTTATCATCTGAACCGTGATAGACTAATCACCAATCTCATTAATATGTTCAGTAACATATAGTTTAAAATATTATTAAAACAATGGTTATAATTACTATTTTTAAATATTGTGTCATATATTTATATTAATTATGTTTTTATTTTTAAATTGTTATACATAAAATAAACAAAATATTTGTTTTCAGGTATAATATTTTGTAATTAAGTAATAATTTATTGGTTTGWTTATTATTTAGGATCAAACAAGTTTATATTATATGACAGTAAAAAATTGTATTTTTATAAACATACATTTTATGACAAATTAGGTAAGTCATTTTAATTCGAARCAGTTAATATTTACTTTTTTCTATTAATTAATTATAATTACATTATATGGAAGAAGGTCCGTTTTGTAATGGATCCAACCATACCATTCAGCAGGAATTTGACTTGCATCATAATCCAAATAAACTTGGTCATTGTATTCTACCCAACGATTACGTCCTAAAATAATGACAATTGAATTAGACAAAATGAAAAGTTTTTATCATTAAATGATGGATTATTACCATAAAAATACATATTGTTTTCATAATAACGATTGCCCATTTCATCGGTACCAACTAAGGTACCAATTTTCAATTCATCTTGCCTAYAAAAAAAAGTTAAAAATGATAACTWTTAAAAAATTAATTACTAAAAAAATTTAAAAGTAGTGCAGMATAAATAATATTATACATTAAAAAATGTACAAAAAAGTATTTTTTATTTCAAACCCATAAATTAAAGTGTTTTTCTAACTTAATAATATTACAATTTAATAGTATTTATATGTACRAATTATAAGTTTTCCAAAAAAACAAATAAATAAACAAAACTATTTATTTAGTCATAAAGGGCATCCATTATTATAACTTATAAGATGCATAATACATGCATAAATGGTCTACAGTCGTCAGCGATAGTACATAAATCATTTTAACAAACCCTAAAATATAATTAAATGTAATATAGAACTATGTTGGCACGATAGATTAATAACAATAAGTAGTAAAAGAGATCAGCTTAAATACTTCCAAAACATATTATTATAATGCAAATAGTATAAATATGATTAGTACCACCATATTTTTAATAACAAAAATAAAACCTAATAGTAAGTAATTTATGAAAATAACCAAGTATATGAATGTTAAATGTTAATGAATTAGTTTTTGTTTGATTTGTATTAGCTATAATCAATAATGACACTAATCAAAATACTGGATAGTATTTAATATCAGTTGGTTTTTTTTAAATATTTCAAATGTGAGTAGGTAGTATTCATGATGAAAATGCAGTATGTGTACAATAAAAAAGATACTCATCCATTACAATTTACATTTTATAACACCAATTATCATTTAACATTGTCTATACTATTGACTATGATATCACTGTCTTATAGGCTATAACATTTATATACACACTTACACATTGCTCGACAATTGTATTTCATAGTAATACAACAAAATTAATTCATTTACTTCTAAGCTAACACTGATAAATTATTAAATTTTAACTCAATAAMATTATAGTAGAGTAAGATTTGTTTTGAGGCAATGGAAACTAAACAGAAAAAACAAATTATTTTAAAGTAAAAAAACTCACCTGAATAATTTTTTTAAGGCGTTTAAAGGTCCTCCATTGGCTTTGATGATGTTAAAGCCCGTAACAAATTTATTAAAAGGAAAAATTTTGTTCATTTTGACAGAAATCCAACCAGAAAATGTTTTCAATTATTATCGAGTCAAAACGTATTCAAAAGTATTCAGTATTGTACTATTTGTACTATTGTCGATGGAATTGAGTCAATTGACTTTAAAAACTRTTATCACTCGAGATTGTTATCAATGTCAAGCAATCAGATGTTATTATTTTGTACTTTTTAAATCATAACTTAAGAAGGTATAATATTTCGTTTTTCGTAAGTTAGTATAAATAAATTTAAAAAATCACTTCAACTATATTACAATAACGATTATCATTTATTATGATATACTTTATTAATTAATTAATTTTTATTTATTACCTATCTATTTTTTATCTTTTGTGTATGTAGCTTCAACAGTTTCTCATAGATGGCGTAGTATGCAAATCATTGGATGATTATTTTTGTATTTGAAATTTATTCAGAGACCACCTATTCACTACCCACCATCATTGGTATCTTTTGGTTTGTTGGATTCAAAATTTCAAACAGTTGTGCTTGTGAAATAATTATTAAAAAAGGATTAGGTTCAATTTTTAATTTTCTAACCCTCCTATTGGCCGTGTTTTGGAATACATTTTATATTATAAAAGACAAAGTACAAACCATGATATTTCTAAAAAACGGTATTGAATACAACGTATTATCTTTAGTAACAATGACCTAGTACAGCGGTTTTCAAACTTTTTTGTTCGCGGAGYCCTTATATTGCTAAAAAAAATTACGGAGCCCCAAAAATCAGAAATGTCTATATGAGACAAAAAAAAATTCATAAAAAATGATGTCAATTGTAAATGATTGGCTTTTTATTTTTATTTTCTGTAAAATACGAATATATACAAATTATTTAATTAATATTAATAATTTAAATTTAATTAATACATATGTATTATCAGGAAGCYACGGAGCCCCTAGACTACTCTCGCGGAGCCCTAGGGCTCCGCGGAGCACAGTTTGAAAACCGCTGACCTAGTATAAGCAAAGCATAAACGTTACGTTTATTATGGTATCGAATACCGATATAGATTTAGCCCCCTCCCCCATTCGGAAATCCTGGGTACGCGACAGGAAGGGGGAGTTTTTTTGTTACCTAGGGCGCAAGCTTCCTAAATACGTCTCTGAGTATATACAATTGTTGGTAAAAAAGTTATTTTATACTAGGTACATAATATTATAATGTGTTGCTATGCAAATTATTTTACCTGCAGTTTCCAAATGTGTATTTATTGCTATTAACAATAATTTGCAAATATTATTAATATAATTTGTATTTTCTCGCTATTTCAGTAGTTATATTATTCTACTAGTTGGTAATTTAGTAGTTATCATAAGTTGTTTTTTTTGGTGAGTCTAAATAATTGTCTGTTATGCTTTGTTTTCTGTTAATCTATGTTGAAAAGTTATACAAACTGATAAAAAATATAAAAATTAGTTATGATGTTTTTTTTTCGTGTTTTTCGTACTTTATTGTTAAAAATTATATTCAAAAGTTATTTAAGACGAAAAATCTATGCATTGGAAAAACTAAAAGGAAACACACCAAAATATTCAATTTTTGATCGATTCATCGACGTTTTGCTTAAGTAATTTTTGTCATTGTTTTTACTTTGATAAAACCGAGTAACTGACACTGAATAACTTGTTACTCACTTGTTCAGTTTATTATGGTGTATTTGGGTGGAAAAATGGTTTGGTGTAAATAAAAAAAACAAGAGAATGATAAAATGGGCAAAAATTAAGAAAATCATAGAAACTAACGGAACGTTTGCCAATTTCCTATTGAAATCTGTACTAGGATTTATGAGTAAATAATTTTGCTATACCTATGACTATAAATAGTCTATTAATATAATTTATAATTTACAATATTACAATTTATTTTATACGATTTTTAACTTACCTTGTCATGTCTGAATACAATTCGTACATATATTACTCGAATTCAGGTGGCATCGTATTGACTATGGGAATGTTCATGTTTCTGTTACTGCAACTAAATTATTCTTACACCAAGGCAACAGTTATAAGTTCGGCAATTGGGGGCGTTCTAACATTAGGATTGGCCTTTTCTCCAATTTGCAGGTGAGTTTAGAACGTCTAATATAGGTACATTAGAATTTAAGTACCTACCTATATGGCTATATATTTAACTAACATAAATATAAGTTTAAGATAGGCTTAATTTAATAACATATATTTTACACTTCAGCATCGATAATATGTTGTATCTCTTGTACCTATAAGATATTGCATGAATGTATAATAACCATGTAGCTAGGTGTGAGGTTTTTGGTTGGGAAGACACTGAAAAAAAAATGGCACTAATAGGTACTCCTAGGCCCCTCCCCCCTCCCCAACAAAAAAAATTTTGTTTTGTTCTTGAGCTCGGCAACTATATGGCCATTATCTATACCAGTGGTTTTCAAATTGGGTGCCGCAGCACTATAACCGATTGCATTGAATTGCGATATAAGAAAATAAATGCTTCCAATAATAATATCTATAAAAGCAATGACTATTCTTTTGCCGTTCTCAACCTCATATCTTTGTGAACAAGGATTTTCAGCACTTACGAATATAAAAAATTGAAAACGATAAAAATTAAATTCAGTGGAGGTAAAAATGCGGGCAAGTCTGCYAATTATTCGTCCAAGAATTAAAAATATTTGTTAGCCCATCAATTACACATTTCTAATTAAATGTATATAAAATTTTTTGGAAACGTTTTGAAGTGTACAGTGTTCCATGTATATTAAAAGTTTGAAAACCACTGATCTATACGGTAAGAAATAAATGTTCAAAAACTAATAACAAAATGAAATTATATTTATATGCTTTAAAATGTAAAATGCATTATAATTTAAGATAGCACAGCGTGACAATGGGACGGCGACGTCGATAATAAATATTGAGGCTAAGGTAATTACAAATGGCGAAACGTGTCTTATAGCCTACATGGTAAGCTCCACTCAAATTAGTATATCTCCTGTACCTGCGCGYCTATATTTACGATATAAAACAAAATAATTATTATTTATTTGTCCCATGTTCTAATTTTTAAACTTTGTCTCCTATGACGCTTCGCCACTGATAATAACTAATTAACTGATAACTTAAAGTGGGATTAACAATCAAAATTACCTACCTATCATAACCCTATAGATTAAATAAAAAATAAAAATATATACTTTTATATTTTCATTGATTTAGATGTATTTTCATGATGGTCTTGCCACAATTATTTTCGGATAAGGGTCGACACGCTCTACTTATGTATGCGTTTATTTTATCGTTTTCTGGACCTTCCAAGACTACATTACACAATACTGGAGTCTTATCGGAATCGCTCACATGCTTGCAGGTGTGAATATAGCTAGTATAACAATAATTCATATCAATAACAGTATATATTAATGCATGCAAATGGATCATTTCAGGATGAAATAAAATCGGCCATACGACAAATAGTTGAAATAATAAAAAAACCACTATTGGCCATCCGATCTTCTATAACACGCGTAAAGGCAGACCTAGCAGTAATAATAAATAAAATGAAAAAAGGAATGTTGGCCGTCAAGAATACTGTGATGGAGTTAGGTGAGGGTGTTTTATTAATTTGGCTATCATGAGTCGAAGGTACACACAATAATAATATGATCGTAACGATATCATATAAAATGCTCGTATCTGTTTCAAAAATTGCTTTTTTGTGAAATTTTTGAGTCATACTAAATAGTAACCTAACTAAACTTGTTGATCTTTTTAAAATTAGTTACCTTCCGGAGCTAGTTTAATTAAATATTTAATATTTAAAGCCGTAATCTAACGATCAGGTGACAAAAATACATAATATATTATATATTATATACTATTATATGTATGTCTTAACCTATATACATAGTACGAACAATTAAGTCAGCTTACGAATGGTTGTACAGCGTAATGAACATTTGTAACAAAAAAGTCGGTACGCCATATCAGAGATGTACGAAAATGTTCGACAATGCTTTAGAGGAGTGTAAAGTAAATATAAATAGGCATTGATTATATAAATAATATTTCAATTATAATATTAAAGGTAATACATATTTTAGTGATGTAGAAATAATTATTTGTATGACTACTGCAACAATGAAAAATAACTAACACAGGTTTTACATAGGTGACGGTATCGCCTACTTTCGATTTTATGTGTTCGATATCTTATGTGATTTCAAATGTATGCTACACGGTTAAGTTTTTGGATAGCCTTTGTGAATTTTTCGAATTCATAAACGAATCTATTTTTGGGGCCATTCAAAACAGTGAGTTTTGGAAAACTTTATGAACACCTATAGGTACTTCATATTAGCCAATTCAAATTTGACGGTTTTCAGGTTTAAAGAATTACGTTCGGCACATGAAAAACATGTTTTACGTATCCATCGAGTTCAAACATTCGTTTGCATTTGAGTCAACACCGAGCAAATTGAGTAGTGACATTATTCGCGGTATTATTACCGAAATTAAGTACAAGATCGAAAATGTCGTACTGTTGTTTGACTGGGCTGGATCAATTTTTTCGTTCTTCTTTTTGTACGTGTTTGTAAAGTGAGTATTTTTGTAATCGGTGGTTCCTTAAAACATATCCCACTTATAATGTTATGGTTGCAGAGTGTTAAGATACAGACAGAGGTATTTAACGGTTGATTCGTTTGATAACAAATATTTGACAAAGGAGTTATATGAGCTAGATGAACGGAAACAGATCCTTGATCGACCGACCATAATGCCGTTGACTAGAATAGAAAAAAATAAATTCATAGAGGTAACTTTCTATATAGGTGCACAGGGTTTAATAAAAATTGTAGAAAAATTTAATTTATATTATCTTTATAATATTTTCTGTTAAAAATGTTTTTGTAGGTATATATAATTTATTAATAATCAGTTATCATAACCGTTATAGTAAAAAAAAAGGTATACAATATTGAATAGGTATATTAAATGTCACAAAGTTAATTAATTATACATAGCCAGTTCTTTCTGTAACACTCTAAAAATATGAATAATATTATAATATTGAATTAGATATTTTTGGCTTTTCGCATTAGAATTTCAAACACATAAATTATTAATTAGTATATATTATATATGTATAATTTATATATAGTACACACATATATTTTCATAAGTTATAATGTCAATGTGAAACACATAATGTATTACATGCATTTAATAGTGTACAACACAACTCATTCAACAATCAACTTACTATACTAAACTATATTTATATATTATATACAATTAAATATTTAATTATACTTCTATATAATATACAGAGTGATTTATTTATCAAACAACACTCATTATTTAAAAAAGTATTGACTTTTTTCAAAATATTTTTTAAAATAGTTTCAAGTTATTAAAAAAACCAACGTTTTTATTAAAAATTTATATTTTTAAATATTTTTTATCCTTATAATTTTTTAAGTTTTTTACTTTTTTGAATGACAAGATAGAGTTTTAATTTCATATTCCAAAGCAGAATATTTTTCTAAGTATTTTGATTCATAAAAATCGAATTTAGGACGAGTAGTTTATGAGTTATAAGTATTTAAAGTTTGGACAAGCGGAGAAGTGGACAAACATTTTGCGGTGTAACCCCGTACAAAAAAATAAAAACTTAAAAAATGATAAGGATAAAAAATATTTAAAAATATAATTTTTTAATAAAAACGTTGGTTTTTTAATAACTTGAAACTATGTAAAAAAATATTTTAAATAAAGTTAATACTTTTTTAAATAATGAGTGTTGTTTGATAAATCAATCACCCTGTAGTATAGGTATATAGTATATATAATAATTTATTGTATTCTTATTTAAAATATGAATTACGATTGAAAGCTGATTCGTAACATGTAAGGTATTTAACTACTCATTAAATTTTTGATTACACATACATTTTGATTTTGTATTTATTTCATGATGTCTATTTTACAAACTCTTTTAGTTGTCTTCAATATTAATATAATATATATATGAAAAAAACTTACAAATGCCATGTTTGACAAATTAATATTTGTATTTGTATACATTTTTTGAACTATATAAGTAATTCAATAAAATATATTTGTTTTCAACGTTATAAATTAGCGAACATCTATTAATTTAATACCGAGAGAAAAAAAAGCGTTGTTCCGGTCATTGGCTATACTATTATTAGCGACATTTAAGATACTCATACAAATGGCGGTGGATTATAGTCTTTATTGGATATTGATCACTGTCAGAAAATATGGAAGACTGTCATCACAACTCGACCGTAAAAACAATAAGACTGTTGTATAAACTGCAAGTTATTAATCTATCATATATTTATCATATAAATATCGTAGCACCAAGAATGGTAGATGTAAACATCGACGGCGATGGAATCTTAGCAGACCTTTATAAAACTATAATACAAACGTTTAAGCCGGTGGCAAAGGAAATGAACATGGACACAATGAGTTGCTTGCCAAATCCGTGGCCACCAAACTACGATTGCTATCAGCGGATAAGTAATACTTATAAAAATTATTAATATATTAAACATGAAAGTCGATATCATTATTGTCAGTAGTATAATCGACTAAGAGTGATAGAATAGATAAAAACAAATATCACTTGTCTGCTATATATTATAATATTATGATATTATTATTATGAAGGTGCTTAGGTTCCAAGCGTCAAAAAGTTGAAATTACAATACAAAAAATAATTTAAAAAAATATCCCAAATTACTAAAAAAGTACACGTTTTCAAAAAATTCTTAATTCTTATTATTTTTATAGTTTGATATTATTACTTAAGTATATCCCTATTAGAATGAATAACAGTAACATACCAGTTTAATTATAACCATCATCCTAATAAACGATATTATTTAATTTTTTTGTTCATCATGCCTTCATTTGAGTACAAACATTAAAATAATATACATTTATAATACATCATGGACTCTATATATAATAACGTAGAGTTCCATAATTGGCAATCGTATTGAATTATTTATTTTTGTTTTCGTAGTTTTAGTGTTAAGTTTGACGTGGTTTCTGGCTATTATGCAACCGTATGGTTTGCGGTTTCGGTCTTACGTTATGGGATACTATCATCCAGATATAGCTAGCACAAGAGCAGTGTGGCTGCATAACCATATAATACGCCGGAGAATTAGTTTTGTCAAATTTGCAAGACGATTTCTGCGCAGGAAGTTCGGCTTAAGTGGCGGAGAAGGTGCTAYAGATACATCCTTCTTGGATTTTATCTATTCTAAGTCAGTGCTTGCAAATAAAAATTCTTGAGTATAAATTCAAAARTATTATTTAACTAATATATTTAATAATGTGCATTTCATATAAATCCTCAAATAATAAAGAGTTTTTATAATTGATAGGTATAATATTTTCTATATGGTATTAAATTATTTAATGGTAGATATTATTAAAGGTATCCGTTCTTTGATCGCATATGGAGTCGTAAAAAGCAGACAGTATGCCTACTATGTGGTTACAAAGCAAATAGTAGAGACTTCAAATCGGGTGAAATGGTATTGTGTGCCAATAACAACTGTAAAGGCGTGTATTGTTCAAAATGTTTCACAGATATTGATAACATATGCACTTTGTGCAGTAATCCTATCCATTATGGAGATATAACAGACATTAGTGAAGAAAAGTATGCGTTTTAATATTTAACTCATAATCTCTTCTCTTAACACCATTGTAAATAGWAAATAAATGGGCTTCCTACAGAGACAGTTCTTCGGATGAAACTGAGATGAACGTTGTAAAATTATCAGAGCACAAAATACCAGCGAAGAAGATTRGGAAACGAAAACGTACGGTAACGTGGGCCAAAACAAAAATATCTTCAGTTTTTAGTAAAGATAGCTCATCTGGTGAGGAAGGCGATATCAGCGATGAGAGTTAGTATAACAATATCCAAATCTCAAAAAGTTTATAAGCAAACAATTTTTTTTTGAAGCGCACTTTTAGCCAATTCAAAATTAACAAGTTCGTTAGAAAATGCTAACTTATAAGTTTTTTTTTTTTTAAACTAACAATCTTTTATTTTCGAGTGCTTATTTTAAGTATTGTAGTAAGTATAATAAGTATGTTTGTATATGTATAATATTAATATATAGATTAAGTTACAACTACCTATCGGTAGTTATTAATTTCTTATATAATTATACAATAATACGAGCATTTTAACTTATGTAGTGTTAAAAAAAATTAGGTTACCATTGTTAATCTTAAATCATCAATGAGTAGTTACAAATGTTGGCCAAGTACACCAGTCGTGCACTTTATAAAACGATATTCATTCGTAATAAAAACAAAAACTAGTAACTATATAATAACAAAAATTGTTTGGAAATTAAATAAATCTATAATATATTATCATCACCTTTTATAATCCTATATTCCTATATTGCTATTGGAAAATATGAAAAATGAAATTTTAGTTAATTTAAAATTATTTTAGATTCAGAGCTGAGCGAGGAATGTAAGTATTGGTTTTACAATGATGTTGTTTTTTTATTTTTTTATTCTTTTATTCTGTAAACACTTTTTCTCCCTCTAATCTTGATCAAAAGTATCAAGTGTAGCATTTTTTCTGAGGTAATGTTCTTGAGCTGGGACTTTAGAGAGGTCGTTTTAATTTTAATTTTTAATTTTAATCATTTTTCAATTTTCGAAACGGTACTCAAAATAAAAGCGGTTAAAGAAGAAAAAACGTACGATTTCACGATTTTATAATATTAATAATTACGGATGATGTTTTCTACTTGAAATATTGATTCTAATGAAAGATGACAAGAGATTTTTTTTGTTATATTTCGGAATTTGTTCCTTATGATTTAAAGTTCGGAAAATTTTAGCCATTTTTGAGCTATTTATAGACATTTTAATTTTGGRAGTTTTTTTGTTTAAATTCAGTTAATAATATTAAAATTTACAATAATAATTCATAAAAATTTAAAATTTGGGTTGTTTACTTATACTATCCTTACCTAGACATGGTAAAATTTTTAAAATATTTGAGCGACTTTTTAAATCTAAGATTTGAAATTTTTTAATAATCTATAATATTATATTCTAGACAGATAAACCGTCTCCCCTTAGAATCGTTTTTCGTATACAATGATATAAGATCATTGGATTCAAATTTAATTTCATCCATTACAGTAACCCACTTGTAACCTACTGTATACCAGAGTGGCATGCACGACTTACCCGCTTTATTTTAATTCTTCTTTAACGTAGTATAAAAAAAAAAGAATAATCAAATTTGAAGTGTTATTATAGTAKATGGCTTCTTTCCCCAAATTGGTAATTCATGTATGTTTTCTCTCTTAAGTTTTAATGCACATTTACTTATTCTATGTAATATAGATTGTATTTTTTCTTATAAAAAAAAAAAAAATATGTCAAAAATATAAGTTACAAAATATGATAATTTATTTATTTTCGTATATATTGACCTAGTGTAAGTGCTAAATTGAATTGGTTTTGAATATTATATTGGCTGGGAGAATACAGATAGCAAATTACTTATTAATTTTTTATAATTTTTTATAATTTTAATGTATAGGATCAAGCGTATGTACAAACAGTACATGTAGCTCTGTGTCGAACTCCTATGAACATGATCCTAACTATGTGAACGCGGATTTGAAGTACAGGACGTTAATAGTAGAGAGTCAAGATGGTATCTGAACGAATTTTTCGACTCAATTATTATAGTTATATGAATACAATTTTTTTTGAAGATCAGCGTTCTTAATTTATTAAATTAAGTATGAAATGAATGAAATGTGTATAATATATTATAAAATGTTCGTCTGCAGAGTTGATACCATGTATTATATAGAAGCATCAAGYATTACTTACATTAAAAGCACAACTTTTATAAAATCTTTGCAGCCAATGACTTTAGATTTCGAAGAATTAATTAATAAATATATTATATTTGTGTCCACATTATTGTTAATTGCATAAATCGCATAATATTGTATAACAGTATTAAAATAAATTAACTAGGTAATTATTATATTCTGCATGTTWACCGTGTGCCTGCCTAACCTACTTATAATACCATGTTATTATGTATAGGGAAAATTTTATGTCAGTTATATATACACATTTTTTTTGAAATTACAGTATTATCGTTTTGCAACAATAATAAATTGATCATTTAATTTTCATAATAATATTATGTATTTTGTTTATCAACGTGGTTCTTATAAATGAATTCAAATAACAATAGTAAACAAGAAGTAAATATACCGTAACCGAGAAATAATAATGCTGGATATATTTCTTTTATGGATACGCTGTCGAAACGTGCAACGCCAGAAATGGCTGAAACACACTTTTGTTTCTGTGGCATTATGTTCTTGGTGATTCGATCTTTTAAGCCAATTTCGTGTTGCTGTATCATTCTGTAACGGTAATTATACCATTGTAAATATTTAGTAAAATTTTAACCATGAATATGTATATTTATCAAAATAATAGGGTTTTCATAAGTCTAAAAGTTGTACACAATACTGGATGGTTAACAAGCAAGCTCTACTTTATTTTTAATTTGATTTAATTTTTTAAAATTGAAATATTTAAATGTAAATAAAGACTATATTTTAATAATGTCTTAAAGATGGTTTGTTAAGATAAAAATTTCTATTTTACAAACTCTTGAACCAGGCCCGTGCGCAGGATTTTAGAATGGGGGGTGTTTTGAAAAATAAAAATGTATAACATAGATACATCAATAATCAGCAAATAGTATTATAACATATTTATATTTATTATTAATTTTGTAAGTACCTATGTTAAATGTGTTTTTTAACAATACCTACTATAAAATACAAATCATTTTTTTAATAAATTAACTCGACGAGGGACAGAAAAGAATTGATTCAGTGCTTGATTTATGTCCACGTTTATATCACGATGTATATTCAATGATGCCAGTCCATTTAAGCGATCTTCGCCCATTGTTGATCGTAGGTAAGTTTTCAGCCGACGTAATGTAGAAAACGACCTTTCATTAGTCGTTGTAGTCACAGGCAAAACTGACATTACACGTAACATTTTATGGACATTTGGAAATGCATCTGCATTACAAATATCAAGGGCATCAAGGGCGTTTCGAATATTTTAACACTATAACTAACGTCTCACTGTGAGCTTACAATCGTTGTGTATGAACTATGATTATAAACAACTTTTATTGTCATTATATTTTATCGATAACGGCAACGATTACGAAAGTCGATAAACAGCAAACATGAAGACAACACWATATTATATTATTATAGTATTGTACTATTATGTTATGCATTATTATTTATTACAAATAAGATTGGAAAATATGATATATAGGTAATAGATCAAAAATGAAAAACACGATTTTTTCGGCCATGGGGGGGGGTTGAACCCCCAAAATTCCCCCCTTGCGCACGGGCCTGTCTTGAACCACTTTTGCACTGTAAATTATTTTTATCAAATATATTGTTTTCTGAAAATATGGACGTATCATAACAACAATTTAAAATTTTAAACGAATCATTTTTTAGTTATTTAATTTTATGTACAATATTCTATGAATCATGATAATGGGTTTGAAAAATAGGGATCTTAGTTATTGTCTTAATTTTAAATTATTAATATTAGTCTAAATCAGTGGTGGCCAACTTGCGGCTTATGTTTTATTAAAAAAAAATCAATATTTACTTATTGACGATAAAAAATGTGATAAAATTATAAAAATTATAAAATGTATTTATAAACATTTTGACTCTTAACATCATTGATCTCATTATCCATGCTGCTCGTAGACGTAGGTATTCATGTTGGCCATTCCTGGTTTAAACCAATGTCAGCCTGATCACTTGGCTCTGACAAGATTTTTGCTTAGGGGCCGAATCACCCATTCGCCCAATATATCTTATGGAGTTATCAAATTATACACCTGTACAGTGTACATACTAATATATATATATATCTGTTTTTAATTTAGCAATTTAGCAACTTTAATTCATTTTTAGTTTCATGCTTGTAGTATTTTATAGTATACAATTATTTATCGAGACTTCATTTATTTTGAAAAAAAAAGGCTAGGGGCTGGGCAGCGAACTGTATCTAACTACTTTTAACAGACCACTTTGTGTCTAACAACATTTTTTTTTAACTTGTAAGAATGGTCCAAGTATTATTAAAGCACTAGGTCCAATATTACATTTATATTATATTTTTATAAAACCATTTTTAAGGATTATTATCCTTCATTTAGAATTTTTAATTTCAATAACTGAAAAACTACTTATTTGAATTTTTAATTAGGGCTTGCAACATTAAAAAAAAATTATCTCATTTAAAAAATATCATTTAACATGGTCACAGAACACTCCTTAAGTAATATCTATAAAAATCTCGAGAATTTTAAGAAATTTAAGAATTCCGTAAATTAAAGTTTGAATAATGTCATTATAGGTTCCTATATTAAATGAAAATAGAGATTAGCATACACGGTGAATCACTCTGTATATATTTTTAAAGTCCAAAATATGTAATATAGTTTTTTATTAAGTTTTATCGCTGAACTTACTTTTAAGTCTTGAATTTACTAATAAGGTATACCTACACTTTTTATGCTTAAATACATACTTTTGTTTGAATACGTCTTTGTATCCTGATTTTTTAACGATATATAATGTAAGAAGTGGTATTTTATACAACTCTGTTTCAGATAAACTGCATTTTTCATGTTCTTGCCATGTTTTAGCTATTATATGATACGCTAATGTGATTTCCACCTAAAAATTATTTTTAAATTACTTTATACTACATATTTTATACGCATTACGACTTTACGTTTACAAGCGTTTAAAAAATCGTATATATAATTAGTATAAAATGGTACCTTTTATAACTCACCAAATACGAATGAAATTCGTTTCGAACCCGTTCTACACCTATTTCTGGACTTGTAAACGCCATTTTACCTTGTGGTTTCATCTTTTCGCGATAGATTTTCTTAATATATTCATCTTCTGTTTCCTGTAATTAAATATTTTCAATCGTGTACATTGCATAAATTTAAGAKAGACACAATTATTTTAACTGAAAACAAAAATTTAAATTGCCAATCATAAAATTTGCGTCCAATTTCGGTTGGTTAATAATGCTGTGAAAATATTAATATGATATACCTACGTCCTCATACATATTATAATACATTTCGTATGGTTACGTGGAGGGTATTAAAAACCATATTAAAATCTATGAAATACTAATCTAGAAACCTGATCTTACGAAAGGCTTGGTATAGCCAGTATAGGTATCCTAGTAAAAATATGCGACTTTCAAACTGGGCTGAAACATCTTGTTCAAAAAAATTTGTAAAACGTTAACTTTTCGGTGCTGCCGACTCCTGCTTCTATCTATTTTCATAAATATTTTACTTATTTTTGAATTTTATGAAGGGCGGATTACTGAGTCAATTTCAAAACTAAGCCGAGTTTATGGAATCAGTAAGTTGCATTTTTGCAAAAACAAAAAAATTTTTAAATATAAATTTTTCMCTATCTTAAGAGTTACCAATTTTTGGGACACTAAAAATGCTCTGATTTTCGTCTTTATTGTCGTTTCTGATGAAAAATGAATTTTATTGCTGCATTGATGAGGTAAAAATTGAAAATCCTAAGTATTTTTCGAAAGCGTTGAAAAAAAACCTGTGTTTGATAAAATATTGACTGTATTGAAAGTTTTGGGTATATACAAAATAAACTGACTTAAAAATCCTCATCTCATTTAAAAACTGAATTATCCTTAAACAATATGATACACGAACATAGATAATCGTCTTTTCATTAAGTTTCATTATATAGGTCGATTCACTCTGATTTATAAAAGCTAAACGTGAACTGCTTAGCGTACATTTTATATGTTGCACACTTGTAAGACGGTAACAACCAATTCAAATATGGTGTTCTCTTAAGGGTATAAATTATGAATTGTAATAAAAAGGTCTCAAGGATATAATATCGCCTACTTATATTGTATTTAATAAATTGTTAATTTAACTTTTTTTAAAAATTKTTTAAGAGAGTACATATATCTAGTCGTATATAGGTATTTAACAATTGAGAAAGGGTAGAGTCATACTAAAATGTTGATACTGATTTAAGGATTGCTTTTTTATGGACCTCAAAAAAGAGATATGAACTTAAAGTTTAGATTAATAAATAATTATTGTAAATATATTTGGTGTTGGAGGAGGGAAATATAATCAGCCCTCTTACCGTAACCCCCATAATATTTATTATTCTCATAACGAAGACATACGTAGAAGTGTGACTGGATCATACATTTTCCCAGTCAGAATTGTTCTTCAACGCCAACCCTGTGCACTATTGTAACAAAAACGCGACTTAAAAATGTAATATGTACACAATTTACAATATTACATCGCGCTATCATTATAATAAGTGACATTATTTTTGTACCTACATTGAAATATATGTAATTGTGTCTAGTATCTTGTGCACTGAACGTGATCGGCACGTCTGCCAAGTCTTTGATTGTGTTAATCGTCTGGCTGGGTGACTGGAGCATAACTACGATGTAAGCCGCGTACGATGTGAACAAGAATACTGCGCACAGGAACAGTGTAAAAGTGGCCATCCGTGTGGGGCCCGAGTATTGGGCAGTCG